GAAGAAACTGATTTGGGAGCAAAAGGAGAAATGTAGATAAGAAAAAGTGGAAAGGACAGAAGAGAAAAGGCAAAGACAGATTTCAAAGAAAATATCTACATAAAGGAGGATGATGAGGGGAAGGAGAGAGAAATGAAGAAGGGAGAGTAGTCAAAGATACATTCATTTATTTATTACTGGACTATACAAGCTCAGTATTTGGCAAGATTTCTGCTGGTGTTGAACCCTAATCCAGCACAATTGCTTTCACTGCTGCAAACACCTGAGATGAAACCTTTCGGTAACACCGACTGAGGGACTGTTATTTCTTCCTTCCTCAGGATTGAGGTCATTTCCTCCTCCAACAGCGCTCTCTCTGTGGCATCGAGGGGGGGAGCAGTGCGTGGACACTGTTGAAAGGTGGAGGCTCACAGTAGAAATGTGATGTGTGGCACTTCCTATTTCCTCATAATATAGTCTAAGCAGAGAGGGAAAGAGATAATGACATATCAATAGATGGAAAAACCAGCCTGTCCCTCTCATTGTGCCGGGGCAGCTGCTTCATCTCTCTTTGTCTCTGGTGGCATGCACTTTGAGCTGAACACTTCTCTGTCATTCGCATCGGTTAAATAAACTGATCCATTGTGCTTGTTTTGTTAATAAAATCTTTTTAGTGTTTTTACTCTTTTACTGTGTAAATGTTGAAAAGACCCAGCCAGTGAGCAGGTTAGGAGCCTCCCTTCAGCTCATCATTTGGAGAAAATTTCAACACAGTCTGAGTTTTGGTATCCAAAGAAAGTCAGTGGCAAGACGAAGCCCTGCTCGCTGAGCCTTAAAATGACTGAAAATGGAACTCAAGCTTTTTGTTACAAAAGTAGCATAGCATAGCATCTTTATTTATAACGCACTTTACATCCAACAATGTTGACCAAAGTGCTACAAATATAAAACAGAGAGGAAACAGTTTAAATTACATATAAAATATCTTAAAATTAAAAATAATATAATTAATAAGGAACATATTAAGAGACATCAACAAGTCCTGCTGTGCTAAAAGCCAAGGTAAATAAATCTGCGGCTTAATTTGACTCAACACGGGAAACCTCACCCGGCCCGGACACGGAAAGGATTGACAGATTGATAGCTCTTTCACGTTTCTTTCTCATAAAGTAATACTGTATGAGAAAGAAACGTGACTTACAGTTTTAAAAAGATTATTTTCAAATACTACTTTAAAAGAACATTTATATATATATTTTACATCTTTAGAGAACAGCGATTTCCTGCGTTTACGTCTACTGATTTTGAGATATCCATTAGTCTTGAAAGGTGCAAAAATAACTTTAAGACATGCATCTGTGTTTCTCTTTTCAGTGGTGGTGTTGTACGTTCAAGGCCTGGGGACAAAGGAGTGGAGAGAGGTGAGTGAGGCACACCGGCAGCTTCAAGGTTTGTCCTGGGAAACCTGTTAGATCCACAGACTCCAGTGTTTTAACTGAGCTACAGTTAAAACCTTTGTCTGAAAAAGCACAAAAATCCTGATATTTTTTTGCGCCTGGTATATCTGATTACAGAATTATACTAACCTCTTTTTGTTATCATTTGTTGACACGCACGTACAGATTTCAGAGGTCGATGTTCATATTGAGGGAAAAGAGAATGAAATATCACAGTATCTATGGATTATCTGAAAAGAGAAATAACAGCTAAACCACTATCAGGAAAATTTATATCTAACTTTTCTATCATGTGCTACATTTTTTTGGCAAATCAATTAAACTCAAAATATAAGTTACAGAGTTAATGTCTCTGAAATCATAAATATACGAACGCACACAAAAACAACAATAATGCAGTTTCTTACCTTGTTATCATATGTGCTTTATTGACTTGGTGTTATTTTGAAATATCATGGTTATCCTTGAATAACATCCCTATTCCACACACAATGGTATGTATATGCGTCACTGACATCCAGATGTTTTGATGAATGCAGAAATGTAGGAAGTAAACTCTGGCAGCTGCTTTTGGTTTTTTAAAGTTTGCGGTCCATAAATGTAAAAATCTCACGTGTCGCATAAATCAAAAACATGTTCTGGCTTTCAAGACTGCATCTGCTTTCCTTGGTTTACCTACTGCTTTAGTTTAGCCCTTTAAGACCTGCCATAGAACCAAGTCCGCCAGAGCTTATATTACATTTTTACATGCTGTGGTGCAATTTTTGGGAGCATTTCAAGTTGCTATACATCAATACAACCATTATAGCCCAAATGTTAATAATATGTCTGCATTAAGTGCAAAGAAATTACATAAATTGCAAAAAAGTGCAATAAACTACAAAAAAATTGAAAATCGTTTTTGTTTTTTTAACATATATTTCTAGTTAGAGAAATTTAAG